GAACACTTTCCCAAAGCCATTGACTTGGAAAATGAGAGGAGCTACATTTCATGAGTTCTTGTAAGCAGTAGGGATTAAAGCCTGGAGTTTTAAAGGTCAGCGGGCTTGGCTGGGATAGAGTCTGGAGGGCACTGTGCTGCTCCTGGAGAGATGGCAGGCAAACAACCTAGGGGCAGACAGTGCAGAAACAACGATCTGAAGAGCATCTGGGGCACACAGTAGGGAGATCACACACTTTTCTCAGAGCACTTCCCTGAGAGGCAACATTCACAGAGACACATCTCTGGGAACAGTGGAGCTTGCCAACACCATTTCCTTCCCCTGCCCCTCAGCATAAATACAGAGCCAACTGCGGGAAGCAGCACAGCACCCACATTGGCTGCTTAACTTGCTTACACTAAGCCCTACCCACCCTGGCTCTAGTGGAACTGCCCTTCTCAGTCATGCTTGCCTCAGTCCCAGTGCAGCAGGACCCTGCCCCAGAAGACCAGGACAAACTCCTGTCCATACCATGTCTCCAGACCCGAGAGTTTTGCAGGGCCTCAGTTATGGTGGAGATGGTGACAGCTCTCATTTCACAAGTAGACCAGAACACACCTAGCTAAAACCTGCCAAATTCAGGCCAGGGACCAAACACTGCCCATAGCAGGAAAGGAGAGCCTCTATAAGTGACTGGTCTAAAGGGCAGAACAGCCAGAACACAAAAGCAGAGCTCATGCACCACACATAGGAGACACTCCTTGATACGTCCTCCCTGGGAACTACATGACCTCTTCTTCATAAGGCCATAACTTTCAGGAGGATCTATAACTGGCTTTTCTAACACTGAGAAGAAGGCAGAGACTTAGACAAAATGTGAAGACAGAGGAATTTATCCCAAATGAAAGAACAAGATAAGGCTATGGCCAGAGATCTTTGTGAAACAGACATAAGGAACATACGTGATGAAGAATTTAAAGCAAAGATCGTAAGGATACTCACTGGCCTTGAGAAAAGAAGACATTGGTGAGACCCTTACCACAGAGATAAAAGAGTTAAAAAAGAATCAAAAGAGATGAAGAGTGTAATAAATGAAATTAGAACCATGCTTGAGGCAATGAACAGCAGGCTGGAAGATACAGAGAAACAAATTAATGACCTAGAAGACAAAGTAATGGTAAGCAATGAAGCTGAACAAAAGAGAGAAAAGAATTATGCCACACAAGAACAGATTTAGGGAACTCAGTGACCCCATCAAACATAATAACATTCATATTATAGAAGTCCCAAAAGAAGGGCGCCTGGGTGGCTCAGATGGTTAAGCGTCTGCCTTCGGCTCAGGTCATGATCCCGGGGTTCTGGGATCGAGTCCTGCATCGGGCTCCCTGCTCCTTGGGAGTCTGCTTCTCCCTCTGCTTCTCTCTCTCTCTCTCTGTCTCTCATGAATAAATAAATAAAATCTTTAAAAAAAAAGAAGTCCCAAAAGAAGAAGAGAGAAAAGGGGGCAGAAAATTTATTTCAAGAAATAATAGCTGAGGGGCGTCTGGGTGGCTCAGTCAGTTTAGCGTCTGCCTTCAGCTCAGGTCATGATCTCAGGGTCCTGGGATCGAGCTCCACATCGGGCTCCTTGCTCAGTGGGGAGCCTGCTTCTCCCTCTCCCCCTGCCTGCTGCTCCCCCTGCTTGTGTGCACGCTCTCTCTCTCTCCCTGTCAAATAAATAAATTAAAATCTTAAAAAAAAGATATAATAGCTGAAAATTTCCCTCATCTGGGGAAGGAAACAGACATCCAGCTCCAAGGAGGCAAAGAGAACTCCCCTCAAAATCATTAATAGCAGGCCAACACCAAGACATATTGTAATTACATTTGCAAAATATAGTGATAAAGAAAAAATCTTAAAAGCAGCAAGACAAAAGAAGTCGTAACTTACAAGGGAAAAGCCATAAGGCTAGCTGGAGCTTTCTCAACAGAAACTTGGCAAGCCAGAAGGGAGTGACATGATCTATTCAAAGTGCTGAAGGGGAAAAATCTGCAGCCAAGAATACTCTATCCAGCAAGGCTATCATTCAGAATACAAGGAGAGAGAGAGTTTCCCAGGCAAACAAAAACTAAAGGAGTTCGTGATCACTAAACCAGTCCTGAAAGAAATATTAAAGGGGACTCTTTGAATGGAAAGGAGAGACCAAAAATGACAATAAAAGGTAGGAAAAACAAAAGCAGTATAAATGAATACTTCCTCTAAAAATCAGTCAAGGAACTCACACACACAAAAAGGACATAAATATAATAACATATACCTAAAACATGGGGAGGAGAGGAAGAAAGAATGGGTTCAAACTTGAACGACCATCAACTTAATATAGACTGATATTTGGGGGTGTCTGGGTGACTCAGTTGGTTAAGCTTCCAATTCTTGATTTCAGCTCAGGTCACGATCTCAGGATCGTGAGATGGAGCCCTGCGTCAGGCTCCATGCTCAGCGGAGAGTCTGCTTGAGATTCTCTCTCTCCCTGTCTCTCTGCCCCTCCCTCACATGCTCACTCTCTCTCTCTAAAATAAATAAATACATCTTTTAAATATATACACACACACATATATATAGACTGATATTTGCAGAAGAGGTTATATACAAACCTAATGGTAACCATATCAAAAAACACTAACATGCAAAGAATAAAGAGAAAGAAATCCAAATATATCACTATAGAAAATCAGCAAAACATGAAAAAGACAAGAAAGGATCAGAGAAAATCTCCAGAAACAACCACAAAACAAGTAATAAAATGGCAATAAATACATATCTATCAATAATTACTCTGTGAATAGATTATGTGCTCCAATCAAGACATAGGGTGTCAGAATAGATTAAAAAAAAAAAAAATACCCATCTATATGCTGCCTACAAGAGACTCATTTTAGACCTAAAGATATCTCCAGATTGAAAGTGAGGGGATGGAGAAACAACTACTACACAAATGGATATCAAAAAAAAGCACTGAATACCAATACTTATATCAGACAAACTAGCCTTCAAAGACTATTAACAAGAGACAAAGAAGAGCACTATATAATAATAAAGGGGACAATTCAACAAGAAGATATAACAATTGTAAATATTCATGCACCCAACATGGGAGCACCCAAATATATAAAACAATAACAAACACAAAGGAACTACTGATAATAACAAAATAATAGGGGATATTAACACCCCACTTACATCAATGGACAGGTCATCTTAGCAGAAAATCAACAAGGAGACAATGGCTTTGAATGACACACTGGACCAGATGGACTTAACAGATCTATTCAGAACATTCCATCCTAAGACAGCAGAACACACATTCTTTTCACATGCACATGGAACATTCTCCAGAATATAACACCTATTAGGTCACACAACAGGTCTCAATAAATACAAAATGACTGAAGTCATACTATGCACCTTTTCTAACCCCACACTATGGAACTAAAAGTCAACCACAAGCAAATCTTCAAAAGAGTACAAATACATGGAGGTTAAACAACATGCTACTAAACAATGAATGGGTCAACTAAGAAATCAAAGAACAAATTAAAAAGTACATGCAAACAAATGAAAATGAAAACACAATGGTCCCAAACCTCTGGGATGCAGCAAAAACAGTTCTAAGAGGAAAGTTTATAGCAATACAGGCCTATCTCAAGAAGCAAGAGAAACTTCAAATAAACAACCTAAACTTATACCTAAAGGAGCTAGAAAAAGACCAACAAACAAAGCCTAGGACCAACAGAAGGAAGGAAATAATAAAGATTAGAGCATAAATAAAATGATATAGAAACTTAACGAAAAAGAACAGGTCAGTGAAACCAGGAAGAGCTGGGTCTTTGAAAAAATTAATAAAATTGATAAACCCCTTGCCAGACTTATCAAAAAGAAAAGAGAAAGGACCCAAATAAATTAAATCACAAATGAGAGAGGAGAAATAACCAACATCACAAAAATACAAACAGTCATACAGGAATATTATCAAAAACTATATGCCAACAAATTGGACAACCTAGAAGAAATGAATAAATTCCAGGATATATAAACTACCAAAACTGAAACAGGAAGAAATAAGAAACTTGAACAGACTGGGGCGCCTGGATGGCTCAGTCGCTTAAGCAACTGCCTTCGGCTCGGGTCGTGATCTCAGGGTCCTGGGATCGAGCCCCGCATCGGGCTCCCTGCTCCGCGGGAAGCCTGCTTCACACTCTCCCACTCCCCTGCTTGTGTTCCCTCTCTCTCTGTCAAATAAATAAATAAAATCTTAAAAAAAAAAAAAAGAAAAAAGAAACTTGAACAGACCAACTACCAGCAAAGAAACTGAATCAGTAATCAAAAATCTCCCAACAAATAAAAGTCCAGGACCAGATGGCTTCAAAGGCGAATTCTACCAAATATTTAAAGAAGTGTTAATACGTATTCTTCTCAAACTATTCCAAAAAACAAAAAAGGAAGGAAAACTTCCAAATTCATTCTATGAGGCCAACATTACCCTGATGCCAAAACCAAATAAAGACTCCACAATAAAAGAGAACTACAGAGGCGCCTGGGTTGGCTCAGTAGGTTAAGCATCTGACTCTTGATCTCAACTCAGGTCTTGATCTCAGGGTCATAAGTTCAAGCCCCACGTCAGGCTCCATACTGGGCATGGAGCCTACTTAAAAAAAAAAAAAGAGAGAGAACTATAGGCCAATGTCCCTGATGAGTAGAGCATACTTAATGATGAGCACTAAGTAATGTATAGAATTCCTGAATCACTATATTGCACATCTGAAACTAATATAACACTATATGTTAACTATATTGGAATTAAAATTTAAAAATAAAAGAAAAATAAATAAAAAAAATTTTTAAGTGAACATTTCAGAGGAAAGGGTGAGAAGGATATCAATATATATATACATATATATGTACATATACACACACATATATATGGTAGGAATGAGGATATATGCCAGATGTAGGAAACTAAACTCAGAACACCTGCACCTTACCTTCTTCTGAAGAACATTAACCTTCCTCTCTTTCACATCCAGCATGTCTTTGAGGTCATGTATCTCTCCAGCTTGTGTCCCCTTCTCCTCAGCCATATCCTGAATTTGTTTTGTCTTCTTATTCAACATGGTTTCCTTCTCTTCCAAACGCAATCGGAGAGCATCCACCTAAGAATGTGACATTTTAACAAATGATTAAATGAAAAGAAAGGAATGTAATCCCTTCCAAATACATGTGTATAGCTGCCCAAATGATACGTATATAATAAATTTTCATTAGAATCAAATAAAATACCACTCTAAATATAATTATAGCTATTTAGAAATTAAACCCTAAAACCTTATGAGCACCTTTGTAATAAAAATAAAATTTACATCAGTTAAATATACAATGATACCAGGATAAATAGATCTGAATTAAGGGATAAAACGGAGAACTGTTATAAAGAGACTGAGTTTTGCCACCTCTTTGGAGGGTTTAAACAGATTCCCAGGCCCAGCCACCAGAGTCTGATTCAATGGGTTTGGGGGCGCAAGAATTAGTTTTTCTAACAAGTTCCCAATGCTTTAGAAAATCTAAAATTAGAAAGAAAACCATAAGCATCATCAAGCATGATACTTGCTGTTATCACATAATAGAAACTAGAGGTAGAATACGATGCTTTTTAGACCAAAAATCCCATAATGCATCGAGACATCGTGCAAAGGAAAGCAAAGGTCCATTTTCATGCCCAAAGACTAGTCAGCTAAAGTCTGGCATCCAGTTACCTTTATCCCCCAAGTTTAATAACGGCTTTCACTAAATATAACTTTCAAATAACTAGAAATCTAATGAAATCAAAGAAATCTAATGATAGTACTTATTTTTAAATCCATTCAAAGCAAATTTGATTAAGCATACTCACACATCAAATTTATTTTAGGGTTTTTTTTGTTTTTGTTTTTGTTTTTTGCTTTTCCACTAAGGATTTACAATTCAGTGAATAGTTAAACATTCATTATAGCAAAACAGGGGGGCGCCTGGGTGGCTCAGTTGTTAAGTGTCTGCCTTTGGCTCAGGTCATGATCCCATGGTCCTGGGATTGAGCCCCATATTGGGCTCCCTGCTCGGCGGGAAGCCTGCTTCTCCCTCTCCCACTCCCCCTGCTTGTGTTCCTTCTCTCACTGTGTCTCTCTCTGTCAAATAAATAAATAAAAGCTTTCAAAATATATATATATTGCAAAATAGGGACGTGGATTTCTTTCACCTCAAGACAGTGTTATTCTACAGAAATATAATGTGAGTCATATGCAAACCACATATGAAATTTTAAACTTTCTAGGAGCTGTATTAAAAAATAAAAAAGAAACAAAATTAATTTTAATATTATAACTTGTTTAATCTAATATATCTATAAAACTGTCATTTCAAACATGTAATCCATATTAAAAACTATCAATGAACTACTTTATTTTACATTCTTTGTTTCATACTGTGTTAAAAGTCCAATGCATATTGTAATTTTTATATTTACATCATATCTCAATTTGGATTACCCTATTTCAAATGCTCAATAGCCACAAATAGCTCGTGGCTACAACACTGAAAGTGCAAATCAAAGATACAAGTATATTTCTATAAAACATCCTTAATCTTGAACTTGTCCTATATTATTTTTCCTGGCTGTCTGTGGATTAACCAACCCACAAAGAAAAAACAGGTAACATGGGTAATGACTCACATTTAGAGAACACCAAAACTCTCAGGGAAAATCTAATATTACATCTAAGCTATAAGGTATCTGAGAACCAATACTGTGTGTATGGTAGTACTTACTGCTAAGTACTATGGAAAATTTTCCTACAAGACTAGTCTCATTTGAGACTCTATAGTTAAGTCATTATGTACTTAAAAATTATCTTGGACTATGCCGGAAAGGAAAAACATATAAATACACCAGATTTCACTCTGCTAAACTACACTTGTTCCAACCACCACTTCAATGCCATTTGTCCCACCAAGCCAGAAATTGGGGAAGTAATCTTTGTAGGTTCCATTTATAATTCTTCACCACAAGTTCTACCATGCCCCCTCAATAAATACTTTTCACTTCTGATTTCCCTCTATTCTAATAATGATATATGGTAACCTTGTTATATTCTGGAAAGGTCCACCTGAAAACTTTCAAACACTTAAATTCTTATTTCTGAAACAACCATTTTCTTTCTTCTATACTTTACTAAATCTACTCTTGGTGCGTAGCATAACCCATCATCTATCATCTATCATCTCTTTTTCGTCATTCATCCCTATTCTGGTTTGTCTTGTTTTTCTCCCAGCCTGAGCAATCCTTTCAAACACAGTCTCTTATCATCTCCTTTTTATTTTAGTCATACTTATTTTACAGATCTTTACTTCTAAATTAAATGGTTTTCTTCATTCTATCCTCAGATTTCTGAACCTTTCTCCATTTGGTCATGTATATGCTTGCCAACCCTATACACAGCATATTAAAAATCCCCCCAATTCTAATCATCAAGCATTGTATCTTCTTCACTTGCACTCTCCCTGTGGAAAATTTCACTTTCCCATGGCAACCTGGGAAACTGAGACTTAGAAAAGATAGTTATAAATAAGCAGCAGAGCAGGACTTTCAGATTAACTGGTCTGTTTCCAGATCCTACAATCTTAACCACTAATTATATATTACCCCACTAAGAGCGAGACAAAAAAGTATATACTATATGATTTCATATATATATAAAATTCTAGAAAATGTACACTAATTACAGTAATGGAAAAGAATAGTAATAGATCAAGGGTTGCATGGGAAGAGGGAGAAGGGGAAAGGAGTGAAGAATATCAGGGAAAGGCAAAAGAAAGGGATTACAAAGAGGTACAAGAAAATATGGGGGGGGCATGTTCATTATCTTAATGGTGGTACTGGAAGGAAATACAGGAAAATACTTTTAAGACACTGAGGCATGGAAGGTTTCATGTTTAAAGACACAGAAAGGGGGCGCCTGGGTGGCTCAGTCGTTAAGCGTCTGCCTTTGGCTCAGGTCATGATCCCAGGGTCCTGGGATTGAGTCCCGCATCGGGCTCCCTGCTCGGCAGGAAGCCTGCTTCTCCCTTTCCCACTCCCCCTGCTTGTGTTCCTGCTCTCGCTATCTCTCTGTCAAATAAAAAAAAAAAAAAAAAAAAAAATCTTTAAAAAAAGACACAGAAAGGGTATATCATAAGAAAAATACTGGTAAATCCAACTCTGTTAAAATTTAAAACCTCACATCATGATACCATTTTATAGTGTTTATTTTTTTATCTATATTTCACGTGCCTATAACAGGTCTTAATAACAGTAATATTAAAGAAAATAGATGAATATTTATACTTGCTTTAAAAATGTAGGTATTTTATAAACTGAACAAAATTAAATATGACCCAATATTGAACTTCAATTTTTTAAAATTTATGACCATTTACAATCCCTCAAAAAAATTTAAATATCTAGGTATAAATCTAACAAAACATGTAAAGAATCTATATGCTGAAAATTACAATAAACGAAATCAATGAAGACCTAAATATGTTTTTCCCTTAAAAACCTTATGAAATGTAATGTGTCAAGATAGCCAGCCTACTTAAAATTTTCCTCAGAGACATGGAAAAAGAAAAGATTACTTAAAGTAATAAAAAAAAAAAAAATGTTTTGCTGAAAACAGTGGAACTACAATAATGTAGTGAATCCAAGAGATATTACCACTAAGAACTTCCAGTTTTGGTGCATAAATTCAGCACTAAAGATCTCAGAGCAAGAATTAAAATCCAATGCAAAACAAAGATGAACTGTGTGATTTCCACAGAGTTCCCCAACAGTCCTTTCTAAAGTGCAAGATGACAAAAGTCTTTACATTTCCTTGGTTTTTCTTCACCAACCTATTAAAATCAGAAAGACTCTACCATGCAAAGAAACAAAAAGGTCCACAAGACAAATGTCAGAACTGAATATAGATTCAATTTGGAGAAAAGGACTGCCACCACAGAGCAAGGACCTTTGTGGAATATGAAGTTCAACAACCAGCCTGCTTAAGATGCCAAAAGAGCCCAGTGACCCTTATCCACGTGGCACTCAGGCACTGCTCAAGCTGGCCTGCATGGCTACTAATCCTATTTGACAGTATAAGATTTGGTTCCTATTAGCTGAATCCATTATAGGGCATCAGTCATGGTGATTCAAGAGGGTGCTTATTGAACCCATTGACTCCTCACAAAGAGGTCAAAGTCTTAGAAATGTATACATGTCAGAAATTTTTAAAAATAAATAAATCATACGCTAAATCATTTGTACCTAACTTCTACATTCTAATTTGTATTCTGTATACTATATATTCTACTTCTAACACATATACCACATATCCCAATAACCACAAGCAAAAAACAAACTAACTCACCTAAAAAACATTTCACACAGTATTCTCAAAATGCATTATTAAATTCTTTTTATAAAGGCAAAAAACCCAGACATTTAAACTTGTAGGTAAATCTTAACTGCCTAATTTCCTTGTCTCTTAGTTCTTCTCTGCATTAACTTCAAAAAAATGAATGTTTTCCATCTGTGGGTAAGGAATCAGAATACAGCAGGAATACATCCCTCAGCATTTCTAAATGTTTCTCATTCTGATAGTCCTAAAGTCCCATAGAACAATAAATGTAAGACCTCATGTTGCTTCTTCTTTACCAAGAGTACCTAGATGTCCTAGCTGCATGCTTACATTAGAGCCCTTACTCAGTTAAGTGACCCGTAAATGTGCCAGTGCTAACCAGTCATAAATACCTGCATGCCATTTTGAGGGAATGTCAGGTATGAGACCCACAGGAATTGGTGACTGGAAAAGGTAAAAAATGAAGACTCTTGTAATAAACACAAACCTTCGGTGTAAGAGTAGCTATAAATTCAGGCTTTCCTATAAAAAATATCTCGTATCACAAATATTAGGTACAGTAAGTTACTCAAGTCCATACTCTAATTACTAAGTGATCTTTTCTTTACTAAGTATTTAATTCATACACTTTTTCTTGGTCTGCTTTTCTCGTGCAATACAGAATTTAAATGTGCTGGTATGAAGATCTAAGATAAAAATAACCACAAAAACCACTCTGCTACTACTAGATTAATTGCTCTGAATTC